CACAAATGTATATTTATTTGTAAAAACATGTTATTTCAATTTTTCTATATCAGATTACACAGAGAAAAGTTATAAGGATTATGGTCAGTAGAGTGAAAATACAATAATTAGAAATGTCATTGATTTAACTTTGGAAACCAGAATTGCATGTTTATATGACTTGAGGGTTCTCTTATCAGAGCCAGAAGCAATAATGAAAGAACAGATAGCATTGAAGTGACTGAGCTTTGAAATAAAACCAGCTACTCTTTGGCTAACACCCACTATGTTAATATGAATGCAGTAGACTGGCCAGATCAAATTTTGATCTTTCAAGTTCATGTCCCTTAGAGGCCTTAAGTTGAAGGGCTAAAATGATCATTATAAAGGGGGAAAACCTAATTTACTCAAGCCATATTATGACACTCTAGTCATATCTGACCAGTCAATGGAGGAAGGATCAAAGGACATGAACATGAAAGCATTTGTGCTTTGACTCTGACATTTAATGGTAGTGCTGCCTCTCAGTTAGCCTTCTGCGTAATATCTTGTGATTTATTGTTATGTCTCTCAAGATTAGGACAATTGTATGTGTCGTTGAGGGCACAACTGGAAAAGCTTTTTCAGGACTAGGTTTTGATGAAGTGGAGGACTATCCGATTAGAGGAAAATGACATTAAAAAAGTGAGAATTCAGTTAGAACCACATTTCTTTAGCAATAATATATCAGTAAGCAGTCAGCGCACCCTAGTTTACATTTGGCCAATGCTACTTATTTTTTCTGTAACCTTTCATATACCCAGCCTTTTTAGCTTCATAAGAGACTAGTGCAGTATGAACAGTTGCTTGATTGCCAAACACAATACTTAATAACCTAATATATAAAAGCAATTGTCTCTGGCTATTCTCTTGCAAAATATTGTGCTGAGGATTGTACTTAAGCTCTACAAGTGCTGTTCTGAGATACATACAACACTGGACTCTGAGCTTCCAGTTTAATAAGAAAACGATAAGAGGGAGAAATGTGAATCCTTTGATCTATCATAGAATCATTAGTCTTTGGTTTTGTCAGTAAAACAGTGTTAGACCCTAAGTGTGATATAGACTCTTGTCGTTATCTCTCCAATTTGATGAATGTGTTGAACCAGATACGGTCCCTTCCATCTCATACAGTGTAAATAATCCTACAAATTCAGTTGAGGGTATATTTTATGCCTATTATGGCTTAAGAATATCTGCTCGCAATAGGCTTTGCTTATGTAGCTGCTCCTAGTTTATGGAATATCTTGATTCAGGGGATTCATTTGATCTCGAGCCTTTGTAAAAGTTTCCTTCCACTAAAGGTTGTTCCTACTCCCCAGACATTGGTCCCGAGGGTCCCCTAACTCCGAGGAGTACAAAGGGCCCCCAGAAAGGATAAAAATATGCAAAAATGTGACTACCTCCTTATCCCTGTGAGAACTCAAATCTTTAAGCATATTATGTTTGCAGTATTTTATAGCCAGTATCAAGCAATTCAAGCAATCAATTCAAAAGTGTCTTCATAGAGAAGAGCCAGAGCCTCTGTGACAGAGTACAGATTTTGCCTCTAAGGGTCAACTTTCTTAGCCTCCCTCGTTGATAAGGACTAGAAATAACATGGAGAAAATGTCTCATGCCTCTGCTACCGAATAACATGGGGAACATGCCCTAGCCCCGTCTAATGGCCATTCCTCAAAACAGCTCTAACATTGTATAAAGATCATACAAAGAAATACAACCAGAATATATTTGGCTGGAGAAAAGAGAGTGGAATGAGAACAAAAATTACTTCAGAAGTTAAAGATCATAAATTCATTTATTCAAAAATGCTATGATGCTATTTGCTAATGAATGAAGAACAAAGGAGAATTTTCAGTACAAATAGAGATGTAGGCAGTTCTGTTTTTACCTGTTGACCAAATGAATCATCACATAGATTTTATCTCATTTCCTATGGAAGTCCAAGAGCTGCAGGGCATCTCAGAGGCAGATTTGTGGAAGCTCTAATATGTCAAATGATGACAATGCGATAAAAAGCACAGAATTTCTTCCAAGAGGCCTCGGGCATTCCCCTAAAAGAAAAAAAAATTGCCCTCAGGCCTAAGCTGTATGCCATTTGCTGGTACATCAAGCCCGCTTGTGCATTTCAGTCCATGAGCCCTGGCAGTAGAATTGAGTACAATCTCTTAGGATCATAACTGAAAGTCAAGGCTTCTTCAATACATTCTCCTCTTCTCCTAGGATTTGTGAGTAGAATAGGAAAGTTACATCTGTCAGAATATTTTGATGAGATTTGATTTGAAAAGAAGAGGAGAAGAAGCAGCCTGACAGCAAGAGAAAGAAAATAGGTTGAGGGTCCAGAATGCATACCATCCAATATGATGAATTCTTATTCTATTCCCTAGTTCTCATACACAGCAGATGGAGTAATCTACCTGCCTCAAGATTGTATAACTCTGAGGGCGAGGACTCACCTGTTTCTCCGTAGTAGAAAATGCTGATACAGAGACATTAATATGATGCTGATGTATTGCATTATTTGCATTATTTATATCCTTTGTTCAAGTTACAGCAGATTCAAGTGACTTACAAATAAAATAGACACTTTAATAATAAAAGTCTAGCAAACACTATCAAAACATAGCTCATTGGGATTTTTCCTGAAGGCCGTTCGATAGTACAATAATTTCCACAAGGCTACTGATAGCCTCTACCCTACCTCAGCCCACTAGCAAAATGTACACTAAATATACCTGTAAATCCTTCCTCACTGTAGTTATATAATCTCAAAGCAAGTGGCGACTTCACCTATTGTTTATGAGAACTAGAATAAGAACATACCTCAATTTATTTCTTTGGCCACAAAGGATAGTTGTCTTTCTGGCAATTGTTCTTTCCTAGGTGTTATGCTACACTGATTCTTTATTAACTACTAATAGGTATCTCTGTAGTATCAAGGTCTTGATCATTAAATACATCACAGACTGTTACATTACATTTTAGTTAGCTAAAATTAAAGCTTTGCAATTATGGAGAAGCATTCAGTTGTGTTCTGTTGCCTTTGTAGCTGCTTAGTAAGAGTAAAAACAACTNGGGGGAGGGGGATTCATATTAAAGAAGGGGAATCATTTCTTGAAAGAACTAAGAGATTCTTCATTTTGATATTTCTTGTGATACATGTTCCCTACTCACCAATCACTTGTACAATGCATGTTTGAATTTTTACATTTAACAGCAAAATTAGTCCCATTCCTAATATCTGGAAGTAGATTATTTATGATCAGTCTCAGGTTAGACAAGTGTCAGATGGGCCACATTAACTAAGACTGATTTACATTCAATACTGTTTCCAACTGTTTATTCACTTTACTCCTTTACCGCTGTGTCCTGCATGATTTATTCATGTACCTTTCTCTTTCCCAAATACTTTAAAAAACCATATCACATTTAATTGTTATGATAAGACTGTTAGTGTCCTAAAACAGCTGAAAATTAAAGGGGGCGGAATTTTAATTCAGACAGGAACCTATGAGCTGCACTTTCCACTCAAAAGCATGTAATGCAGAAACCTCTTGTTGCTTAGCAACAGACAACGGTGACTCAGTGAAAGTGCAAGCCATGGGCTAATTTTGTTGTTGGGGGGGAGGCTTGGAGAGTGGATTGGCTTGGTTTGAAATTACTTCCTGTTTCCAGCAGCTAATATAGAAGGAACCACTCTTCCAGGACAAAATAAAGAGCCCAGAGCCAGATAAATTATGTCTCCCTAGCAAAAGCAATACTAACAAGAGAAACAGATGCTGATAGAAATGCCCAAGTATGTGGTTGGGTCTGGGCATATATTGTTTTGAATGACGAAGGGGCGGTCTAAACCATCTTCAGCCCTGTATGACTCAGACAGCACTTAGGCATCCCTCAACTATACCAAAGTGAAGTCACTGTTTAGAAAATATACAGCAATCAGAAATCTGCCATGCCTTGTGTTAGTTAGATTCTACTTTACTTTCTCCCACTTCTGCAGCGATCCCACTGTTTCTTTCATTCTTATGAATTCAAAGGTGCTCCATCCTAATTAGCAGACTGTGCCCTTTGAGCGTTTTATCTTCACATAAGAATATTTTAGGCCAGGCATCCTCAAACCATGGGGTCACAGCCCATTACCGGGCCTTAAGCCATTCGGAACCAGGTTGCGGAAGTGGCAAGCAAGCACCTGCCACTCACACAAATGGAGCTGCATGTGTGCACTTCCCCACCACTCATGCGGAACCATCTCCTCCCCCCCTTGCCACTGGGCCAGAAAGGTTGGAGAGCTCTGTTTTAGGCCAGCCCCATTGAGATCCTTCTGATTTTAAATGTCTGAACAACAGATTTTTCTCTCTCAAGTTAGCCTTCTACAGAAAGAAGAAGAAAAAAGCCTCGTGGCGGGAAAGACAAATGTTAAGTCAAATTATGAGATAAATTATGGGATAAATTCTCACCCTCCGTGGGAGTTGTCACCTGGCGCATCAATGCCAACAATTATTTCTTTTCTTTATATCAGCATTGTAAGAAAACATGCTGGTTAGGCAAGAAACTCTGGCAGAGTCACCTTGGGCAGCAAAGAGCAGCACAAAGAAAGTGGTAGAGGGAGAGCCAGTGATGAAGTTTGGCAGATTTGATGGCAGTATAATCTAAAAATCTAGACTTCTTATTCTGAAAAGACTTGTTAGCATGGTCTGCAAGTAGAGTATATAAAGTGGATGTGTTCATGCAGTGTTCGACTAAAGTAATATGCATTTGCCAACATAGGAGTAGAGACCAGTATTTTTTAATAAGTTGATTATATGTATTAAGCATGACTGCTGGGCCTATTTATCATTGTTACTTGTATATTTCTGATACTTTACCCATCATGGTGCCCTGATCATCCATAACCCCAATTGTCAGCTCTTCATTGTTCTAAAGACATGTACGGATAGAAACACCTTTCTTAATGCCCTTTGTCATTGTTTTGGCCCCTGCAGGCACTGGATGGCTTTTTCTATGTTGTGAATCGTGAAGGACGGATTGTGTTTGTGTCTGAGAATGTGACCAGCTACTTAGGCTATAACCAAGAGGAGCTTATGAACACCAGTGTCTACAGTATCTTACATGTGGGAGATCATGCTGAATTTGTCAAGAATTTGCTGCCTAAATCACTAGGTGAGCAGTGTGACTTTCTTGGCCTTCTCTCATTCTCTTTGCAAAGCTGCTGCTGAATCAACGAAACACATTCATATAATTTCAATATAAATTCATGTCAGGATACTAGGATAACTTTTCTAGGTAGTACATGAAGTAAGTGTTCAGGGAAAACTAAGGCTCTCTAAAACCACAATAGTAAACCTTAAAACATTTTTACCAGAATATAAGGACTATATTAAAAATCATGATGTAAAAAGAAAACTGATTAAAATTCCAGGTATCCTAAATCTGCTTCATTATCTGATTGATATTCTTTGGTAACATTTATGAATAAAAAGAAGGAGTTGTGGTTTTTAGCTTGAAGAAGTGATAATAGATGGCCTAGAAAAAAAATGGCCATGTTTTTCTTTTCTTTATATATCAGATTCAAAAGCCACTTCATATAACACATTCTAAGTGTTTGATTTCTTCCAGGCTTCAGCTTAATATGTTGACTGCTTCTCAGAATGTACAGTTGAGTTGAGTAGATGCAAGCTGCACTCAGGAGCACTAGCAGGTGGTTAAGAGATTAGGAAGCAGCTCTGTTTTGCAAACAAGATCCAATTTAATTTTGCTGGTGACATGCCATTCCAAATGCATATCATTCATTCTGCATTTAAGCTGATTTTTGAATAATATGCTAACTCACAAGCATCATTATGTAATTCTCAGTAAGAACTTCAGTTGACTACTCAACCAGAAACAATTTTTTTTGCCGGTCTGAAAGCTAGAGAGCTAAAAATGTGAAATGCTTCCTGAGTGTCAGCTTAGCCAGCAAACTAAACCAGGGACTGGAGGCACAAAGATGCTCTTTGGTCAGCTCGTCATTAATGTGGCACATTGAGTACATAGCCTGATTTAGTCAGAGAGGTTACTGGCTGCTTACAAATCAATGTTTTGTTCAGAGAAGGTCAACTGCTTGCTGCTGTTTAATCAACTTGATGATAAAACCCCTCTTGCTTAACAAGGTTCTGTTTATCAAAGTTATGGCCTATTAGCTAAAGCTTTATTAGTTGACAAGTCACTAATTCAGTAAACTCTCATAGTTCTTACAACTGTCTTATTGGGTCAATGCAAGAGTTTGCTGAAGCTGCAAAGGTACATGTTACACTTCCATGGAGGGAAAGAGAAACCATCAATAACACACTGAGCACTTTATGGAAAACAAGTGAAGGTCAGCAATGATTTTATATGAATACAGAAAGCCAGAGAGATATAAATTCCCAGCTCTTGCTGTATTACCCACTCTGCAGGACTTCTTTGAAGGTTCAAAATACATAAGTAGAAAATGATAATAAAGTAGCAATACCGATTTCATGTCTTATAATCTGGAACCCTTCACTTGCTATAGCTCTACTTGATCATGCATTTGCATTTGTGCATCTATGAAGCACATACATGTATATGTGTCTGATCACTGACCCAAATTTAACAGACCTGCCTGTGCAACCTTAATGATAGGTGAAACAAGTGCCAAATGCAATAAGTTCAAAATCTAAAAGGGTCCCCTATCTAGAAAAGTGTTGCCAAAAAGGGCTAATACTCAGCAGGGAGTGTTATTGTGCAATAGTGAAAATTTGTATGACACTCTTCTTTGAGCCATTTGAAAGACAAAATAGTCCTTGAAGAAGAATCCTTTTGAAATTATAAATGTATTTTAGTATTCTGCTGTCTTTTTTCTTTCTTTTTTGGTTGAATTTCACAGTGAGAGGAAAACTGCAATCTAAGATCCTTGCATGTCCATTCGGTTGGATAAGGTCTTAATCAGAGATGGACATTTTTTGGCTCATGTTTACATGTATCATCTAATAATATGTCATACCTTCATATACACAATCATATACCAAGTACATTTTACTGGGGAAAAGGATGCCCAAGATGGATATTATTTGTAACATTTTTCTATTACAGTGCACAGTTCTACAGGATTTAAAGATTATTTACCTTCATCTATTAACTTTAAACTTTATTAGCTTTATTTTCCATCCTTATCCAGGAATCCAAGGTGATTTACTTGAGGTTTCCCTTTATTTTATTTCACAACAAAAACAAAGTGAGAGAATCAGTCACCCAGACAAATTCCATTGCTGAGTTGGGACTTGAATCGGGGTCTATCAATTTCAGTGCTACACCATACTGGCTATTTAAATGTCAAATTTCTGGAGTTTGCTTTAGATTTTAAGTAAACAATCAGATGCACCTTTAACATATGCTGCAATTTTCAAAATCAGTTCTGTTAAACTAGTGCTAGCATAGACCATTTTAATATTGATTTCAGTGTGGCTGGTATCAAATTTGCTTCAGTCAATATAAAATTGACTTAAGCTAATTTAATATAAGGTAGGTTTAAATCAATATTTCACTTAATCAGGTCTGATTTTAGCTTACTACAGTGTACACTTATGCATGAATAGAGTTCAATGTTTTGTGAAATGTTACTGTTGCATTAAACACATATTCTCACGCGCGCATACAGCTCAGCCAGTTTTCTATAGACAAATTAAAAACTTGTGTTTTTCTAGTACTTTCTGAGAAAAGTATGCAAGGTGTTCCTTATTCATACTGAACATGGATTTTTTTAAAAAAAATGTGAATTTGGTTGCCAAGGAAACTGCTATGCTGAATGCAAATATGAGAGGTAACCATAGGAGAAAATTTCAGAAGTACCATCATTCTGTGAGTCTAATATATCCTTTGCATGTATATGTTTTCAATCAGTAAAAGGATTTAGTGATATATATATATATACCTCTAGCTTGACCAAGAATGATGTTTGTGGCTGGAGGCATGTTTCTCCCTCCCCCCACCACAAAGGTGTCAATCTGTGAACCACCTGGTGAAACTGTAATTTTTTACTTTCAATTTTTAGAGAGAGATTATTTATGCAAAATAGATCTGTTAAGATTGTGTTGACTTAGCACATTTATTTTTGAACTTTCCTTCTGAAAAACCCATTTTCAGTTATGCATTACCGTTCGTTAGTCATTCATGGGGACTTTTTTCGATCAAGGAAGGAGAAGTAGAGTTATCACTGCACTTTTCACCTCCTGTAAAAAAAAAAATCCCCTTAGATTTTTCCTCTTTGGAGGATATCAAGGATCACAGAAAAGAAGGAGAAAGAAGTCATGCCATCAATGTTCTTAGAGATGGTGGAAGGAGTAAAGAGAATATGGGGACGAGCTTGTCTTCTTTGAGAAGGAAAGGGGGAAGTAGTGTGTGGATCTTCTTGGCATCTACTGCATTTCTTCTGCAATAGTAAAGATGCTGCACTAGTAGTCATAAGAAGGAAAGAAAACAAGACATGTTTGCATAGAAAACAAAAGAGGAGTGTTTGCTGTGATCAGAATTTTTTCCACGCTTACTTCCTGATCCTTGCCATTTGAGTTAATGTCAAGAGTATCTAGAATAGGTAATGGTGGTATAAATCATGGTATATGATTTATACCATAAATAAATAGAAATATTGGGGCTTTGACTCATTATAATGGTTTCTTATACTTATTGGCATTTGGGCAAAGCTGTAGTAATCTCAGTTTCCAAATTCTGGTTGCTGCACATTCACTTTTTCAAAACCCTTCAAGAAGCGTCTTTATTCTATCCCATGTGCATCTGCAGTTAATGGAGTCCCTTGGCCCCAAGAATCCACGCGACGCAACAGCCACACCTTCAACTGCAGGATGCTGATCCGTCCCCCAGATGAGCCAGGTGCCGAGAACCAGGAAGCCCGCCAGCGTTACGAGGTTATGCAGTGCTTTACGGTGTCTCAGCCAAAACTGATCAAAGAAGAAGGTGAAGGTAAAGACTGCTAGATCTGGAGGTGGAAACGGGCTACTTCATGGTGCAACAGAAAGGGAGGAAAAGCCACAGATGATTTCCTTCTGTCCTTCCATAGGACTTTCATTGCAAGAGGATTGCAACTCTGTAAAAGCCCATACTGTCTGCAACATTTCCTGCTGACTTAAGAGGAGGGATTTTACTCAACATGTAAAACCCACAGATTTTACTGTACTACATACCTTCCAAATTTCACACTCAACTGATGAGCAAATTTAGTCCTCATGGGAAAGGAAAGGTTTCCAAAAGATCCATTGCAGCCCAACTCCTTCTTGCTACTTATATTCACACCAGTCTGTTGCTTTTACATCACTCTTTGGGTGGGGAAGATTAGGAATATCTCCATATGTCCAGTCCTGGCAGAGGACCTAATCAATTGCATAAAAATAAAAATATAGGACTCTTTGAACCATCTTGCTAAAGATGCTGAAACATAATCCTTCGGAGCTTAGTACAAAAGAAACTAATTTCCATTATTAAAGCTATTAGAGGTTTGGTCTAAGACTATTAAATCTTTGACATTGTTCAGACATGATTCTTTTTGGTTTCTGTAGTACTGCAACACTGCATTCATGCTACTGGATTATGTTAAGTATCTTATTACAAAGAAATCAGCCAAAGTCAGAATGAATAGGTAGATATATAGTACTTATGGCGTATTCAGTTGTCCTGCCTCTTCGGTGAGTTTTGACATTGTACGGATTTTTGATATTCCCAAGTCTGCAATGTTAATGCGGTAATAAACTAGTATTCTGAAATTTTAACAGCAGCACCCTGATGATGAAGTCACTCTCCCCAAAATGAATTGAGTAAAGTGATATCTCAGTTGAAAGTTAAAACAGATGAAAGGGAGGTAGGTTAATGATACCCTTCATTAATTCAATCAGTGAAGCTGGAGTGTTCTCCTGATTATTTTCCAGCAGCAAGCTTGCTTGTCTCCTCTGATTATCTCTGAATGGTCTGTAGTTGCTTCCAGGAATACACACACACATATATAACACAATATATATATTGTGTTTACTGAAATCCCCCACCATTGCGCTGGGTGGGTATCTGCCTGGATTCCAAATGCATAATTTAGCAGACATGGATTCCGAATTGGGATCTTGATCTTGATCTGTACTGTTCCTCAGACGCATCATGCCAACAAGACTTTCCAGCAGAACACTTCAGGCTTATTCCTCCGTAACGGCCATTTCGTTCCAGTGCATTAGCTGAATTAATCCATTGCAGCTTTCACAGGAGATCATGACTGGAAGAAATAAATCACAGAGGGGTTTATGAGCACATACTTTGCCCAGAGCTGATAATTGTTGGCTTCCGCAAGTGCCTTTTATTTTGCAGTGTTGCCAGAACCAAATGGCCTTAAAATTAATTCTCCCAAACAGTGTGGAACGAACACACGCATACACATGGGAGTATGCCAGTCCTTTTCTCTTGCAAGCAAATTTTTAACCTTTCCCAAGCTGGCACCCTCGAGATATATTGGGCTATCATTCCCACTTCCCTGGTGAAGACTGCCAATATGTGTGCAGGATGGTGGGAATTCCAGCCCAATGCATCTGGAGAGCTTCACTTTAGAGGGGTGCTGGTTTATAGGATCTTGTTACTGTGAAGAACAATGCTGCTGCTCAGGCAAAATGGGGGGGGGGGGGCTTAGTTTAGCCATGGCTCCAGTGATGATTCCTAAACGATGGTTGGACAGGGACTATTTTCATTCTTCACCAAATGAAAACAGATAAGCAATTCAGTTGGGTTGTTGCAGTCTTATCCTATCCCGAAATGAGAGAAGCCCATCCCATCAGTTTCCCTTTGGTGAGGCCTTTCTTTCTCTTGCATTCTCCCTATCCCTTCTCTAATTCTGCCTCCCCCCAGGTCCTCTTCCCTAATGCTACAATTTCCCCATTTTGTTTGCTCAGGGCTTGCTTTTGTTGCAAAGCCCCGATTGAGCCACTGTCTTAGTATTCCATTTTGTGTTAGCTAGAGAAACAGAAAAGGGTTCCTCATTATAAAGTAAGTCTAAGGAGGACCTGTAATATCTTTAGTAGAGGTCTTCCTCTTTTACCTGGCCTCTTTGCACATACAATGTATAAAAGAGAGAGGGAGGGAGAATGGCTCTGATGATTGCCCAAGATATGGGAAGGGAGGAAGGAGACAGTGTGGAAAAAGTAAATGAAAAATAAAAAGAGGTGGCATAGGAATTTAAATTAGTAACCTTCAATCTTTTTTTTGTTTTATTCACAACAGATTTGCAATCCTGCCTAATATGCATTGCACGAAGATTGCCTCGATCTACAGCTCCCACCACATCAGAATCTTTCATGACCAAGCAAGATACTACAGGTATCTGTCAGAAAAATAAGTGGATAATTGCTTCTGCAAGGCTTTGGAAATCATAGGGTGTTTTGTCAGACTGCAGTTTTGGTACAACTGAAAGATCCACTTGCTTGGCCATCTTGGTCTCCAAAATAGAGACTATATCATGGATATCTCTTAGTTGTTCCTTATAGTGCCTGGGACTCCGCTCAACATTTATTGAGGAAGACAAATGCTATGTTGGGATGAGCAACAATGAAAAGAGCAAGTTTTTTCCCCCTTGAGCTTGGGATTCTCTTGTTTCTTTAAACTATGTTCAGCCAGTTTTGCAGCTTACACTACTGCTTTTAGGTATTAGCACCTCAAAATTATGGGGAAAATGTGTCTAATGTTGGTAACTATTTTTAAAAAAAGACATTTGCTGGCTTTAAGTTGCCAATCCCTGCTTCACAGTTTCATTAAAAAATGTGGAGCCAGTGTAAGGGACAGGAAAAGACAAATCTGCAGTCCTCTATGAATGTGAAATAAGTTACTGAGTAACTTTAACATTTTAACATTATTCATTTTTTATCTCTACTGTTCTTCCATCTACTTAAGTAAAAGTCGTCCTTGCCACCTTGCAATGCATACGATTGTGAGTTATGAAGGTAGGAGAGGCAAGAATGTCAGTCACTTAGATAGTGAAATGGGCAGTGTATAAATCTGATGAATAAATAAATAAGAACAGCATTTTTTGTGTCTTACCTGCTCCCTCAACCTAAATGGACTCTTAAGTGATAATAGTTAAATATAAGCCTGTTTAGTTCTACATGTGTAAATTTTGCCATTTGGAGTCGTCAATTGCAGACCGGGAATTAAAGGAGTTATATTTGGTCGTTTCATATATGTAAGGGAGAAAAATAGCACTTCAAAGGTTTAGCAGAACTAATTTAGAAATAATGAAAGGCAATAGACATCTTTTAAGAGAGCAGGAGATATTTGGATAGTTCACATGATGGTTTTATTAGAAGAAAGCCTATTTACCTAAGTGGCAGTCATAAACAAGGTTATAAGTGGCAGTTCCATTTATCTATCATGTTTATTTAGGTTTGTGTACCTTTTACACTTCTAAAAACAGAGCATTCAAGGCAGCTTAAGCAATTTTTAAATAATGAAAAATTAACAGTTGAAACATAAATAGCAGGCTGAGGAACCGAGGGCAGTTTACAGCTAATGGACAGGTGTAGAAGGTGCAATATATATTGAATATATCCTTGTACTGCTCTGCTTTAGATTCCTAGGTCTAATGTCTTTGTTTTCATCCTGCTCCGCACAGGTAAAATCATCTCCATTGACACCAGTTCCCTCAGAGCAGCAGGCCGGACGGGCTGGGAGGATTTAGTGAGAAAATGCATCTATGCTTTCTTCCAGCCTCAGGGCAGGGAGCCGTCTTATGCCAAGCAGCTATTTCAGGAAGGTAAGAAGGCTTCTGTGTTTGTTGGATTAGGACTTTTCAGAGTGAAAATACAGTTGTTAAAAAATGAAGATGGCACATAATGCTGGCAAAGGAAATGGCTGAGTAGTGGCAGGAAAGATTGCTGGCAGTTCAGAGGAAAGTAGAATTCCTCTCTGAACTACTAGCTACTGAACTACTAGCTTTCTTTACATTCTTCTAGCAATCTGTTATATAAGACCTCTGGACCAGTGGTGAAAGCTAACCCCCGTCCCCCATCCCCCGGTTCTGTGGGCGTGGCTTGGTGGTGGTGGGTCAGGTGACTTGGTGGGCATGGCCAACTTTTTTTTCACTTTCAGCTTTTTTTCCCCCCGGGTGAACCGTCAGGGACAAAAATGCTTTAAAAAGCTTTTAAAAATAGCTTCCAACGATCGCGCAGCTCAGCTTTGAGCTGCGCGATCGTCGGAAACTTTTTTTTTAACTACCGGTTCGCAGAACCAAGGACAATCGTCCCTACCTGTTCAGCCAAACTGGGAGGATTTCACCCCTGCTCTGGACCCAGGCGTAGGTATGGTGTGCTAACCCAAAGGGTTTTTTTTTTTGTCAGGAAGTGACAACTAAAGGAAACAGGCCAAGTTATCCAAAGCTTGGCTGCTTCATTGGTCCCAAAGGGGACAGAAATATTCCAGAATCTCTGCAACTTGCATCTTTTTATGTAGAATTGGCGTGCTAGGTTGAATCTTGGATTAGATCAGGGAAGATAAGTTCCGACTCCCAATCAGCCAGTAAAGCTCCTTTGGGGAAATCCTGTCTAACAATTCTCAAACATTAGCTTGACAGAAGAGAAAGGGGCAGGCAGAGCCTCCCAGAAAATTTGAGATAAAATGTCAGTAGGTGATGAGCATTCTTGGCTTTTATATTAGTAATTTTCCTAAGTGCTAATGTAAAGTGTAAAGATGTTTATCATTTTACAACACCCTTGAAGCGTGGATCAGTAAAATTGTATCTCCTTATAAGATGGGGCTGAAAGAATTTTTTCTCTGCTAAAAGGATTAAATTGTTTATGAAAATCCCAGGAGGTTTTTGACATGTTAATTTCCATAGGACTTCCAGAAGGAGATGGTTGATGATTTCTCACTGAAACAGGGCTGCACAACTTTAAGGGAAGGGGGTTGGTATTACAGTGATCTTGGAGTGGGTTGGGGACACAACTTCATAAAATGAGTGAAGATTGTTTAAAGATCTATCCATTTAGAAATTTCGGAGAGAGAAAAATTGAAACCTCTCTTTATCTCTAGAGATACTTGTGAATAGAATAGAGTAGGAATAGAATAGAATGGGGCGGGACGGGACAGGACAGGACAGGACAAAAATCTTTATTGGCCATATGTGATTGGACACACAAAGAATTTATCTCCGGTGATAAGCTCTCAGTGTGCACCAGAGACAAATTCCTTGTGTGTCCAATCACACTTGGCTAATAAAGAATTCTATGGCATTCTGTTCAAATTCCTGTTCAACTTGAAAAATTTACTGTTTCAGTTTCATTTACCTGATTTATAAAATGGGAGTTGAAAGTGAGCAAGCTCAGAATTGTAATATAAGGACCCATAAAATACTAAACTGTAGTTAAACTTTATGTAGCAGAAAAGAAACTCCTACAAATTCATAGCAGCGAACTACACTTTTTCTTCTTTTTTAGGCCTCTGAGGGCTGTAGGTTGCATGCTGGTGATGCAGCAAGATCATTGAATGGACAGGGTTGGACTTTTCAGCCCATTGTTTTCAAATTTTTCAGGGCTTGATTTTTTTTTTACATACATACATACATACATACATACATACATACATACATACATACATACATACATACATACCCATCCTACTGTTTTTTGGGGGGGCGGGGGGAACCAATGTTAGGCAGACCGCATAAAAGTAGTGAGAAATAGTATATAATATAAGCATGATATAAGGACAAGAAAACAAATATAACTGTATCTTGTTTATACCCAAACTATTTACTGTACTTCGTACCTTTCTACTCTGGCACACCATCCTTCATTCATATATTGCTTAAAAAATGCCTTTGTCCTTTATACCTTTTTTAAAGGATCACCTAAAGTTTCAAACCATGTCTTTTGTAGTTTTCTCCTTCCCCTCAACTCATTCATTCTTCATATATTTATTTACTATTGACTCCTCATTACTTTTCTTTATATGACCAAACAATCTGAATTTATTTCAATATTGGTCACGCCCTTTTGTATTCTGACCATGTTTATTGAGCCCTCATTCATCTTTGATCCTCTTTCTTGTTTTACCCCACATACTCTTACATACTCTCAAGTATCATATTCCTGCTGAATTCAACATTTATGTTTCTTCTGATACGTCTCACTTCTGTATAACACACAGTAGGAAACATGCTCTTATACACAATCATTTTCATTTCTTTCTCCAAACATTTACTCCTCTTATAAATATCGTATGATCGGTTTTATCAGCATTTGCATATCTTGAGATGCGGTGGTGCAGTGGTTAGAGTGCAGTAGTGCAAGGCTACTTCTGCTGATCACTGGCTGCCAGCAGTTTGGCAGGTTGAATCGCACCTGGCTCAAGGTTGACTCAGCCTTCCATCCTTCCGAGGTCGGTAAAATAAGGACCCAGATTGTTTGGAGGCAATATGCTGACTCTGCAAACTGCTTAGAGAGGGCTGTAAAGCACTGTGAAGCGGTATACAAGTCTAATGTTAGTGCTATTGCTATCTTAAACTTCTCTGTGTCTCATGCAGGAGTCTCTGCTAATAGGAAGGACAGTACTGGTCTGGTCTGGGCACATTTTGGCTTAGTATGCCGCAAGTGTGACTAAAGGCCATCTTTATTCCAGCACGCTCACACTATTCTATGCAAGACAGATCTCTAAAAGAGAACACCATTTGATACACAAGCACACCACAAGCACACCATTACTTGCCTCCTGCAATTGAGAAGATACATGCAACGTTTAAGGTGCTTTATTTTTTTTTTACAAAGGTATATTGACTCTATTGAAAGCTAAAACCATAATTCTTTTTTTAAAAACCTAAATGATAATTGCTATCAAAATGGGAATTTGCTGTTGAATTTTTGAGACATGGTTTTTGTGTGTTCCGGGGATTGCATCAGAGGGGCATGTGGTATGTACATTGCTTGTGGATTGCCTACCCTCTGCTACTTCACAAATATTTCTAGCAACCCAAGGAGGCAAATCATCCTAATCCTTAAGATACCTTTTCTTTCCTCCCCCTTCCCTTTCTGTTTCTGCTCAGTGATGACACGGGGCACGGCCTTCAGCCCATCTTACCGATTCACACTTAGTGATGGGACTGTGCTGAGTGCTCATACCAAGTGCAAACTTTGCTGCCCTCAGAGTCCAGAAATGCACCCCTTCATCATGGGCATTCATATAATTGAAAGGTAAGTCCTGAAAATTCCCAGGGTTCACTGGGTGCCATTGCCTCTATTTTTCTCTCCACCCATCTCTCATAGAACAGCAAGCTTCTTTGGGAAGACTTCAGTGTCTTCCTGTGTAAGTGTACAATTCAACATATATACAGAATGCATTTTTAAATGCGTCACGCTGATTATACTAGTTGATAAGTCTCTCTGCATGTCATTGTTCTGTCATACATCCCTTAATAAGAAATAATGTATTTACCACAGGTTCGAAAAGGTGGAGGAAGCAAAGGGTTCTTGTGCTACGTAATGAGATCTCTTCTTTGTATGTTGCAAGGATGTTAGAAGTATAAGTAAAGGGAAAAAAGCCAAACTTTTTTTTGGCTTTCTTCCTCTTGAAGCTGGTTTGAGCCTGACTCTTGAGAGGATCCATGGGCTTCACTGGATAGGGAAAAGATATTTTAATCGGGATTATCTAATCTCAACAGAGCCATGTCTCCAAAGAGTAATGGAAAGAAACAGATGCTGAATCTTTCTTTGGTATCTTCTCTCTCTCTCCCTTCTCTTTCTCTCCGGCTTAAGTAATACTTTCTTAGTTTACTTCTCTTTCCCATTGGAGATGGGGGAAGGGGGGATACTTTGTTTACATAGCAAGAGAATGCATTGAGGAATACGTCATGAAATAGCCTGTTCAAACAAGCTGTTGCTTCTTTTGCAACACCTTCAAACTAGCAGCATGTAAGCAGAACAGAAACAAACTGCAAAGTTGTCCAAAATGAAGAAGACCTGCCAGCAGAACTTCCAGCACGTTTATTCTACATAGCCTCATTTTTGATAAGTAGTCTTTGGTATATATACATGTATGCTTTTAGTTTTTATTGATATGAGTGTTTCTGCATGGAAGGCTTGCAAACATCAACAGTGAAAGAATATTGTGTGTCTGTTCTGTCCTCTATAATATCATGTGAATGCAAAACCAAGCCAGTCAAGGGAAGATATGAAAAAGCATGAGAAATATGATTATGTGTAAGAGTATCTATAAAATTTGCCAATGAAAGCTAGATGATATCTTATAAGTTTTGAGAATGATTTTGCATCTCTTTAAATAGAAGAGAAACTATAAAGGATACTGAAACTAGGGGTATTCGTGTAAATTAGTCAACAGCTGGTCTTCTTCCTTACTCATCATGCCTTGAAAAAAGAAACTCAGTGGCCTGAATGGAGGCAGTGATACTAGCAGCAGCAATCTCTGGGCTTTCTGTGGCAAGAGAAAGCTGTGATCTGAGGATAGGACCAGTGGCAGTTATAGTGTCAGCTGAAGATGGAGTGCTGTGAGAGGAAGAGTGGGATCAATGCTTCTGCCTGCTGCAGAACAGGCTGGTCTAGGACAGATTGCCATGGCCAACTCATCACAGCCAACTCGGTGCGGGACAAAAGTTACATTAATATCGAAGAAATTGTGGAATAGAATCATCAAACAAATGATGCAAAAAAGGAGGAGAAAATGAAATGTGAACGACAAAAAATTAAATATATATTTTAATTATTTTAAATAATTACTTCAAATTGTTCAATTGTCCCGTGGTGAGTTGGCCATGAGTTGAGTTGGCCATGGTGAGTTGGCTGCAGAGAGTTGGCCATGGCAAATTGGTTGTGGCAAGTTGTTCCATTCTGGAAAAGGCTGTGACAGATCTCATAATTGCAGCTGCTGAAGGAGAGTTGCAAAAGAAAGAAGGCAAAGATGAAGGCACTGTTGGCTGCCAAGGCAACAACCACAACAGCATTGGAGATTCCAGGCCAACAGGTTGTGAGAAGAACCACCTCTTCTTTAACACTAACATTTGGCCAAGTGTTAGCAGGACAGTAAATCTGTGTGGGCATCTTATCTCTCTGGATGGATTTTGTAGGGGGGGAATTAACATCTGGTTTGTGTGATCTGGAACAGACTGGCTAGAGACTGTACTTCTGGTTAAATGTCTGAGAAAGCTGGCTTGAACAATCTCTTACTGTACTCTCTGCTTTCAATTTTCCCAGAAAAATCACCAAGGAAAGATCAGGCACTGGGCTTCCTGATAATCACTGATAGGAACAGCCAATTGAATTTATGAAATTTCAGCAGTGATTTGTGCTTGCTTGTTGCTTGCTAGTCAGCCATGGAGGTTTTTTCAGGTTCATTGCCTGCCTTAAGGGAGTGCCTGCACAAGCATTCCCCACATCCCCCAAAATAATTGCATAAGAAGGAGGTCCAAATCATGAAATATTTCCTACGGTTCATTCTTAGTGCTTTACTTTCAGGTTCTGATATGGAAAGGTTATTTACTCTGTAGAAACCTTGTAGAAGTTCAGGTACAAACAATTACACGTTTTGTATAAAAACGTATACAAAAATAATACAAACCTTCTGGATCTAGGATTAAAATCTGCCAGGCCATTTTTCTGCCCAGTTCCTTCATTAGTTCAATCTTTTTCAACTTGCTACATATTTTCCTTTATTTTGTTAAGACGAATCTGCACATTGACACATTCTTAATTGCCTTCACATGCTGCTAATTTGATATACTAATTTCTTTTTATGCAATTATTTGACCTAGCTAGTTTACATCCTTGGAAAATAACTACTCCCAGAGCTATTTGAAGGAGTGCGGGACCCAAATGCATGTTATTTAATGGAGAGGGAGCTGCAGTTTGGGGATGGAAGGCTGTAACTCAAAGAATGGCCATTATTTTATGGCTGGGAGTCAAAGCTGACATGAACAGTTTTGGCAGGGTGAGAGGCCTTGGATGTCAGTGAAACTTACCAAGAATAGTTCTGGCTTTAATACCATCCTGAATAGAAGTTGAGACCTAAATGTTTTGAAGGCTTTCCTTCAATTTTTGAGGAACAGGACAATGAATGATTGGGAGGGTTTATGTTTGGGCTTTTCATTCCTGAATTGGAGCCCTTTTGGAACGTTTTCTCATGGTAGCCAGGCCCATGCGTAAAAGAAAATACATGTATAATAGTAGCCATTTTTTATTTCACCTCTCAAAAGAAGCCAGCAAAACTTTACTTTTCCTTCTTACAAACAAACACACGCATACTATGTAAGTATGCTCTCTGTGTGTGTATGTATGTGTTCGCTCGCTCGCTCGCTCGCACACTGCATATATGTAGGTATATATGTATATAAATAAAATCTTTCTTGGGTATACCGCATTTTTGCACTACCTCCCTCTGAAAGGTCACAGCATAAACTACTCAAGTTCTTTTGACATGGGCGTGGGATTGTATTTCCTTTTTCCACCAACTGCATTTTCTTTCCTTGATCCAGAGAACACAGTGCCCTGTTGCCTCAAGAGAACACTAATTCTGCAATGCCTCTTCCCCGGGTCAGTCCCTCACTGAACCCCAGCATTTCTCCAGGACAGGGTGTACCCCTGCCAACGCCTCTCCCACCCTCCAATGGTAGCATGTTAACGGCCAACACAAACCACCCATCAGGATCCAGCCTGCACGGCAATAGCAATGCTACTACCACCCAAACCAATTATGGATGTTCACCTGGAAGCCAGATGGGAGCTAATGTTGCCTTAAGCCAGGGACAAGCTGGTCCTCCAAACAGCACCCATGGTATAAACATCAGTGGGTCTCCCATGAACAGTCCTGGGGTCACCCCGCCACAGTTTATGTCTCCAAGACATCGAGTAAGCCCTGGACTTGTGCATCGGCCCAGAATGCCAAGCAACCCGTTCTCTCCTACTATGCCCCACACACACTCCCCAGTGGGCATGGTGGGCAATTGCGGTGGCAGCAGTGCTGTCAGCAACAGGCCATATCCAGGCACCCCATTAAACTCCATGCAGGGATTGACTGATGGGCCTAGCCCTCCAATGGGCTACTCCACACCCCCTCCCGTCCTGCGTCAGTTGAGCAATCAGAACTCCCCCAGCAGAATGAACATGCCACCCGTGAAAACAGAGCCAAAAGACAGCAAGGAGATGTCGTCCATTCTTTGCAGCATGACCCACACCGACAACAGCTCCAACGACAGCAAGCCCTTGGATTCTAGCTTGCTGCATGGCAGTGACAGACTCTCAGAGGGTGACAGCAAGTGTTTGCAGGCTACCAGCCACAAACTAGTCCAGCTCTTGGCTTCCACGGCCCAAGAGCAGTTACGGCACATGGATGCCGATACCAGTTGCAAAGAGCCCTTGTCTTGTACGGGTGCATCGGGGACCCCAGCTTCTGGGAACCCTGTGGCCAGTGCATGCCCTTCCTCCCACAGTTCCCTCACAGAGAGACATAAGATCTTACATCGGCTCCTCCAGGAAGGCAGCCCTTCTGATATTGCCACCCTGTCCATGGAGCACGATAAGAAAGATGGAATGCCTGGTGGTACAGCTGCCGCGGCTACCCCACAGAGCCAGGCTCCAGGAACTCCTGACATCAGGCTGGAGGCAGATGCAATGAAGAAGAAGGATTCAAAGGACCATCAGCTCCTTCGCTATCTGCTTGACCAGGATGATAAAGAACTAGCATCTAACCCTCCCTTGAGCCTGGAGGATGTGAAGGTGAAAGAAAACCCAGAGCAATTAGATCCTTGTAATGCACCTGTGGCTCCACCACCTAAGCCCTCCACTCAAGAGGAGGTGAAGCTACAGCCACAGGGACAGGTGAGTTTTTAGTTTGAATCAATTTTCTATTAACAATACATTTTTCATTTATTTTTTTTTCATTTATTGAACATTTATAGGCCGCCCTTTTCCCTGAGGGGACTCAGGGCGGCTTACAATCACAAAGGAAAGGGAGTGTAGGACAGTGCAAAAAGAAATGTGAACAAAAATAAATTAAACAATAAAACTCAACATTCACTCAACATTCGGGAGGGGCGAAATGTAGCTAGGTCATTTTCCGTTTCTGATGAAATTTATTTTCCGGTGCTGCTGCTAATTTATGATTCTCTGTGGCTAAAATTCAGCAACTCACTGAACTCTAAATTGATATATTCCAGAGTACCCAGTTTGGCAAGGAGTCACAGATTATGTCAGGCCCAAACTATATCTGTAAAATGAGGAAGATTATAGTACTGTATATGTATTTCAGAACCCTGGCAAAGACTTCCTACACAAAAAATATAGAGTCTGTAACACTCGTATTATGAACGTAAGCTCTCTGCTGATTTAGTCTGGAAAATGAAACCGTGTTCTCACTTTCCTAGCAAGCCCCAATATGGTTTAGGAAGCATCTGTTTTTAAAACCAGAGTTTAAATGGCTAGAATAAATAATAGTAATAGCAATAGCACGTATATATTGCTTCACAGTGCTTTACACCCCTCTCTAAGTGGTTTACAGAGTCAACATATTGCCCCCAACAATCTGGGTTTTCATTTTACTGACCACGGAAGGATGAGTCAACCTTTAGCTAGTCAGGATCGAACCTCTGACAGTCAGCAGAATTACCTTGCAATACTGCATTCTCCTAAGAATGCAGCTCCTAAGCAGCTCTATCTCTCAGATTTTTATTCCTTTCCTTAGGGCTTCTCCCATCAGAATACAGTAGTTTATTTATTTCTTAATCAGTCTTTGGACTGATTAAGCAGTCCTTGTGGATGCTAGTAGGGAAACTAGTAGGCCTGGATAATTTGTGGAAACTGCAAAAATGGGATACAGAGGGACTGACTGATCTTCCTTATTCTTAAAAGATTTACCTGCTATTGAAATGAAGTAGTTGTTGAGTAGGAGCAATATATTCTTGAATAAGAAGCTGAAAGTTTGTATGGGAAAGCCTCTTAGCTTATGCAAATGGAAAGAAAGAAATGAGTAACACCCGAGAAAGCTGTGTGGTCAGCCTCTCTCCTCCTGAAAGAAAAGTGCAGTAATCCGATTCTTCCATCGAAATCTGTTCCAGGTTTTATTTTTAATAGCTTAATTTAATTCCTATAAAATGATTTCTATCTCTGAGCATTCTTGCCAATCCGTATCAAATGTTCTTCTTTCTGGTTTATGGGCTGGCTGCACACAACACCTGTTTCTGGTACAATCCCAGGATTTAGTTCAGTTGAGTGAAGTTCATTTGCTCTGTCTATCCACACTTGACAAGATGCGGGATGGACTGGGGGCATTCATATCAGCACAAGCAGAGGTGGGTTTCACATAATTTTACCACCGGTTCGCCGTGCACCGAAAATATGAGCATGTGCAACCTTTTGCGCATGCGCTTTGCTCACACAAGTGACTTGCATGCCAGTGGTGGGTTCCGGATCCAGTTGCAACCGGTATGGTGCAACGGGGCCCAGCGTCCCCCACATGCACACACTTGGTGCGTGCATGTGTCTTTATCGCTGCAACACCTCTGCGATGCTCCAGCTGCTCAGCGGAGCATCGCACTGGTGCATACACTCTGTGATGTGCGCAGAAGCGCCGAAGAGCTCAAATACAGGTAAGGAGCTCGGGCGGGTAGATGGGCACTCTGGAGCACCGTACCGGAACAGTACCCAGTGCCCCCGGTAGGCACTGGTACGCCTGTACCAGGGCGTACCTCCTGCAACCCATCACTGTTGCACATATGCGCGCAGCTTAGAAAATGTCGCTAAATAGGATAGCATAGCGCCAGGGCAGATGGGCGGGCACACCCACAGGTCGCCACTACCAGTTCACCCAAACCAGTCTGAACCGGCTGAGCACAAGCACCAGAGCCAGGTGTGTCTCTAAATGCCAGTGTTGGGAACTGTGAACAGTTGGGAATTCTTCTCCCCATGCCCACCCTTGGATTGTTAGTTCGTGTTGTGTTTCAGATGAAAAGACCAGAATTGTGGACTGCACACAAATTATAATTTGCCAATAATCAGCAACCTTGATGCTGTGTTGGGCCTGGCAAAATACTTTTGATTGAGGAGGGGGGGGGGGGCTTCTGTCAAATAAAAGGATCAAAATTAAAACAGTACACATTGTGGTTCAGTGGAGACAATGGCTTTAACACAATATACTACAGAGAGAAATGGCTTCTAGATGAAACTTGTGGATGGCAATTATATATTTTAGATGTAGTTCCTGTAACAAATTGAATAATTTAAGCAAACAGGATCTTCTTTATGTAGTTTCCCTAATGTGCCTGAATACATAGAGAAAGATTGAATGCTAATGTTTAGAAAGATTTGAATCGTTGCAAAGAATGGAAAAGGGAGAATCTTGAATTTAAGTGAATGAGACAAAGCTCCCCTGTTTCAAGATCGCTCTTTAGTCGTGTGCAGACCCCAAAAGAAAGCTTCCACTGCAATGTTAGATGGGCAGGATGAGTAACTGCAGATTTTTACATTGCCAGTATATTTTGGGGCAACACTCAAGCTCCCTGGTAACTGAGAGTTACCCAAGGTTCAGAGATTTTTGGCACATGGTTCTCAGCTGCTTGGAGCGTGTAAAATTGCTTGATTTGGCTCTGTTTCGCATGACGAGATGGTGCTAAAGAATGTCCAGATTTTTATAATGTTTTATAAATATGAGTAGTTATTGAAGATTGCAGTTCCTGTAATAGGATGGGATAGTATTTCTCATCTCTCTTAGGTAAGCCCCACCTGAAAATCAAGTAAATCACTTGCTTTAGAAATACAGTTTTAATTTTAATTTAAGCTGATTTTTTTTTATCCCCAATGGAAGAGGAAATGGTGAAAATGATGGATATTGCTGAGATGGCCAAATTGTCAGTTTTAATTAGAGATTAGACCAGTGGTGGGTTGCAGGCGGTATGGGCGTACCAGAACCTGCCCGGAGCACCAGATATTGTTCCAGTACGGTGCTCCGGAGGGCCCACCCGAGCTCCTTCCCGGTCTTTTAAGTTTTTGGTGCTTCTGTGCACGCGCACGGCACATACAGTGCCTGCACGACGCTCCACTGAGCAACCGGAGCGTTGCGGAGGCGCTAAGTGCTGGAGTATGGAGGGATAAAATGGAAAAAAATAAGGGGTTATAACCCATGTTATTCCCCACCCTCTAGGCATCTGTTTTTCCCCCTAGGCCTACCTGGAGTTTTCAGGGTATCAATATGAGGTCTTCTTATTGTAAAAAATCATGCCTACAAAACCCTGTCTTTAGATCTGAGAATCCCATCAGTTCTCACATCTAAATTGCCTCTCTGGAATAGCTTTTTTCTTTAAGAACTGAAATTATTAGGGTTACATTACATTCTTTGTGAATTTTATTTATCAGAACTATCACTAAGTACACATTTCACTTAGAAGGCATACATGTCAAAATAGGCTGAGATATTTTGAAACTGATAAATGCTACCACAGCAAAACTAAACAGAACAGTGTAGCACCCAATATTCCTGGACAAATAACTACACCTTTATGTGATTTTTGAAAGTCTAGCAACATCAGCAGATAGTGTTGGGTTTCAGTAGGAACAGAGTTTAGAGATAGATGAAGGCTCCTGAATGGCTCATATTGACTTGGCCCTGATCCTGCTAGAGAAATATGTACCAATTTTAATTTGACACACACACACACACACCTTGTTACTTTTGGAAGGCTCTGAAGAAATGGTTCTATCTGCAGGCTTGGGGACCTCAAACTGACACAGACCCAATCAAGTGGTTGATATGATTGCATTTGTTGCTGCTACCCAGGGTGGGTACAGAATGTATGGGCTTTATATTTTGGATTGTTTAATGTTGTAAGCCTTCCAGAGTCATCATGTTGAGTTCGGTGACCATATGCATTTGTTTCATCAATAAATAAATTTCAAAATGTATATGTATGCATTTCTGAGGAGAGTGGCACATAGCTATGTTTATTCAACTGGCGCCTAATTCTTAAAGAGTTTATATGATTTAGGTGAAGCTGTCAGCTTTTCAGGCATCTTCCTATTAATTTTTTCAAAGTCCAGCCATTTCTGTGTAAAGAACCTTTATTTCACATTGCCAGTAATTTTATCCTTGAAGTGTTTTTGGATGCCTCCCCCACCCAGATCAAGGTCCAGATTACTAATCCAGAGCATCCCACTAAACCAACAATGTGAGCTATTTTAAGTACAAAGGGAGAAGGTGGTTCAGTGGCTAAGACTCTGAGCTTTTCGATCAGAAAGGTTGGCAGTTCGGCTGTTCAAGTCCCTAGCGCTGTGTAATAGAGCGAGCTCCCGTTGCTTGTTCCAGCTTCTACCAACCTAGCAGTTCGAAAGCATGTAAAATGCAAGTAGAAAAATAGGGGGCCCCTTTGGTGGGAAGGTCATCGCATTCTGTGTGCCTTTGGCCTTTAGTGATGTCGCCACATGACCATGGAAACATCTTCGGACAGCACTGGCTCTTCGGCTTTGAAACAGAAGTGAGCACCGCCCCCTAGAGTTAGGAACGACTAGCACATATGTGCGAGGGGAACCTTTACACAGCCCCTTGGCTCACCACCACAAAATGCCCCAGAGGTTTTTTTTAAAAAAAAAAAAAAGATATGTGTATTTGTGTGTGTATTTCTCTGCTTTGACACTTTCCCATCTGGCTATAGCAGAGCAGGATGGAACAGGCCAGGCTGGCCCTAATGTAGATGGTGCTTTAAACAACAGCATTTTCTCTTTCCCCATGCTAATAATAAAATAAATCTTTCTATCACATTTATCACTTTTTTGTCTCATTTCTTCAGTGCTTTAGTTGCAAATAGGGTTCCACTTTGGTTAACTGTCTGCTAGCAATGAAGTGTAGCAATATGAAATAAGAAACCATTGCAGCACCAAACCCAGCAAAAGGACTAGCATTAAAAAAAACCACCTCTAATTTTGGTTACCCATCAAAGGCTCAGTAGCTGACTTATGATCTTGCTTTCTCCCTTCAGTTTGCATCTGATCTTGAACAAATGCTGCCTCCGCTGGAAAAGACAGCCCAGTTGCCACCAGGCTTATGTGGGTCAGAGACAACTGAAAGTGGTGGCATTACTATCAAATCAGAGATCTTGAGCCCCTCCCTTCAGCCCAGTACTGCTGCAAGAACTCCTACTGGGATGAGCTGTATGTACTTCCAAGTCTTTTAAATATATTCTTAGTAGTGTTTCCTGTGGTTGATAAACTGTAGTCCAGAATTGCATGTGCTTAAGATGTTTAGGTGTTGATTAAAAATGAAGTTTCTTTCTAAATCCAATAATCAGCTCTATTCCTTTGTTAAAATCAAATTTGTTTTGATAATGTTTAAGCTGAACCATTTTGTTTTCCCATGGGATTTCAAAGTTGCATTTTCAAGACGATTAAGGTTGATTCTTGAGGAATGGTATGTTTGGGAAGTATCAGGTACTGACTAAAATTCAGGTCACATTAAGATGTTGAAAAAGCAATAGTTTATTTAAAGATGCACGGGTATTTATAATAATGGAGAACCAAACATATATTTGGTCACATATACAAAGTGGATAGTTTGATTAGAAAGATCAATGCACCTATATAATCTTACTTTGTTGTTCTTTTATGGGAACTGTTTTGCTGGAAGCAACATATTCCATCAATTCTTCTTCATGCTCAACCCTGTTGTAGAATTATCAGGAGAAAATGAATTGCTTGTTATGAAGCTCTTGTGTTCCACAGAAAAATCAGTTCATGCAACCAAACTTAGATGACATTTTAATTCAGGTCAATGTGTGCTAAGTTGGCACAAGTCAAAGTGCTTAACTCATAGTTTTGCCAGCTATTAAGTAGCCCATTAACTTCTCAGTCAAAGTGTGCCGTGACACTGCTTAGCCCATATTTGACATTTTTAAGCTGCCTCCTAAATTCTCAGCCAAAATTCTCTTGAAACTTTCTAAATAGTTTCTCTTCTTCAAAACCCCAATTGTGGACAATTAAATGTAAGTTTAATCTTTAAGTCCTAAGGTTCAGAAAGAAATATTTCCTTTATCCATAATTGATTTACATAATTTTCAGTATTGTTTTCCTTTGTTTTATATGTACAGATTATTTCTGTAGACTCAAGGCAATTAGCAGCCAAATCATAAACATATAAATACTCAGAAAACTGCCAATTAATAAGATTTAAAAACCTTAACTAAGGAATGGTTGCCGTCACATCACTAACATCCAATTGCTCTGGGGAGAAGGAGATGATTAAATTAATGATCAGTTTTCAGAACTCTGACAATTTATTGGTGTTGTTAGGTCATCATGGCAGTTTGGAACTTCAGTGTTCAGAGTCAGCTTATTAATATCATTAGCTGTGGAAATGTTATGCCCGTCTCTTCTTCAACACTGAGGACTACAAGGTTCCTTTTTTATTTTTTAGACAGCTAGTATAACAAGCTATGGGTCTGCCCAGAACACTTCAGCCTAGTGTTGAACCTAGCCTGTGTTGGCTTTAGGGTAAAGACCGCTGGCCTTCCAGTTATAAGGCAGATAAATTATTTAAATCCTGTTTAATATAGCGGTAAAAGGAATTGGACTGGAAGCTGGGAGACTGTGTGTTACAGTCCTGTCATAGGCATGGAAGCCAGTGCCTTTAGACCAATTATTCCCTCTCAGCCATAGGAAGAAGGCAGTGGTAAACCACTTCTGATAGTGTTGCCAAGAAAACTGCATTGACTTATCCATGTAGTCACCATAACTCATATCCGACCCAAAGGACTCAAATAAAATAAAATGACTTAGTAAGTTTATGAAGCTCTTGGACATGCAGTTTATTACTAGGCTGTTTTGCTAGTTGGCCAGCGAACTTTTAATAATCGTTTATGCTCTTTAAAATAGAGAGAGAGCGTGCAAGAGCACAGCAAAAAATAATTTTGGTAATGCTAAATTGCTTGATGACCTAGAAGTGATCCTTACTTTCCCATTAGCAACCAGGGAAATGTTGAAAGCCTGTATCGAGCAAAATCTTGGCTGGGTGACTTCTTTGTTTCCAATTTTATAGTGCCTTATAACTTAACCCAGTAAAATATATAAAAAGCCTGTCACAAGAAGTAACTGTTTGCTGGATTTCATACTTATGGATTTCATGCACTTATCGAGATATACTAGCACTGCTGGGCTTATTGCTAGCTGTAGAAAGAAAAGGCAGGATTCTGCATTAGGAGAAATAAGTTTTATGAACCATAGTGCTCAGGGACAAGACACATGTCAAAGAGCAGTTTTTGCTTTCCCCCTAACTGCAGAAATTACAAGGTGGTTTGAAAAAGCTGTTCACCTCTTGGTTGTCTTAAGTAACCATTTCTGCTGTCATTTTTTTGACAGTTTCATGATGCAAATATAGTAACCTGCAGCTCACTCAAGCCTGTTAATCTGTGCCTTGAGGGCTTTACTCCATGTGAAGCTTTGGAAAACCCAACTTTTAACAACTAATAAAAAATCTACAATGTGTTTTTATAGTGGGATTCGTTCATTTTGAGAGAGAAGGGTTTTTTTGTTAGACAATTAAGATGATATGAGTCCCAGATAATTAGTATTACAAGGTGAAATGCAGTAAGTATTGTTGTTGTTCTTATTAACATTATTCTTGTTTTTTTATAAGAAGCATGCAAACCTTTGGGTTAACAGCTATTTTCTACCTGATAGAATCATCCTGTATTATTTATAATACATGTGCTTTGTAAATATAGAATTATCTGTTTAGTTTTTTGAACCCCAAGAACATAATTACAAACATGGTTATAGGATTGAAGGTTGAAACATTTTTCTGCAGCTAGAGCGAGATAAGAAAATCTCTGACTTCAATTAAACCTCTGATACATCTTGCAACATTTTAAAAATGAAATTTGGATTTACAAATTTCATACACTTTTTTTTAGAATACAATTGAAAGGCTTTCTTAGCAATTGAGAGTAGGTAACTTTTACTGTTCAGGTTTTAACATTAACTTTATTCAGTACTAATTTTTCACAATCTCTTTTCTGAATCAGCAAAGCAGTATTTGAGAATGCACAAAAGAATAGAAGCTGAGGGAAGAAATGCACATTTTTGCTGTTAGAATTTTCCTTCCAACTAGGTTCGGCTTGTGGTTTAAATCCGTCCCTGGGTTATAATGTTTGTCATATTGAACACTGAAAACATGGGGTTTGATTCCTTTGATTAAAGCAAAGGAATTTCTACTAATTGTTGAGTGGGAAAGAGAGCCCTCTGATGGTTTCTATAGGAATTCCAGACCGTAGGTACAGTACCAGAAGACAGTATGGTCATTATAGACCAGTGTTTCTCAACCTTGGCAACTTGAAGATGTCCGGACTTCAACTCCCAGAATTCCCCAGCCAGCTGGCTGGGGAAGTCTGGGAGTTGAAGTCCGGACATCTTCAAGTTGCCAAGGTTGAGAAACACTGTTATAGACAGTATAGCTATATGTCCATTATATGGACAGTATAGCTATGTAATTTTGCACTGTGGGTTTTAAAGCTTTTTTTTTTAATTAACATTTTTCTTTATGTGAAAAAAGATTTGGGAAAGATCAAGGCCAAATGTGTGGCTCTAATGCCAATTTATACAATCTTGACCTACTGTATCTAATGTCATTGCTGGTAGTATCTTTGGTTGACCAAAACAGGGAAGTTCTGTGCTGCTCTCTGAACTGAACCTTTCTGTTCTAGCTGTTAATGGTGGGCAAGGAATGCAAACCGGACGGTCCCCATTTGAATTCTGTGATCCAATGGAGCCAGTTCAGCTACGGACAGCACCTTTCCCTGCCACAAATGGCAGCAGCCCTCATCATGGTTTGCCATCGGAACAGGGCAGGGGGGCAGTACCTGGCCCAAGTCCCTTTCAACCGGATACTGGTATGTGCTTTTATTATGATGAATGTAAACCTCTATTTCTGTTTAAAAAAAGAATTCCTTTTCCCAATAACTCTTTCAAGGAGATCGACCTATTAAATAACGATTTAGCCTGATGTGCAGTAAAACATGTGTCTCCATGAGGCTTTTGGCCTCTACGTTAATATTATTAATATTTGCTAAGTATGTATCTTAATTTTCCCCCAGGAGAGTAACAGCTTCCACAGCACTTTTTCTTTCCTTGGTATAATTTGAGCTGAGAAATAGTGATTTGCCCAAAATTGCTCAACTTCCATGGCTGAGAATAGATTTGAACCAAGACTTCCCCAGTCTTTGTACCTTAATCATTAGTCCATGCTTGTCCCTCTGTGTCCAAATGCAATACCTGGTCATGCTTTCTTGGGCTGATTACCTGAATGGTTAGGAGAAGGAATTTGTTTTGCATATTGAAGTACAAATGTAATTATCACATGCTTAGCCTACTCAGAAACATTAGTTCTGCTCAGTTGGTCTTTCACCCGAAGTAAAAACACAAGAATGAAGAATAGTTATCTTAACAGTCAGTAGAAAAAGTGTTTTCACTGCAGAATCTAGAAATGTCTTATCCTATCATCATCCAAGTTCAACACCAAAATATCTGTACTGCAGCACTACAGAATATTTAGGAGGAAATTTTGAGTATTCATCTCAAAATTCCTCTTTTTGCTTATGTGAGATATTGTCATACCCTGAAGTCTCTCACACATTCCAGTCTCCCATTTTCAACTTATGCAGTTAAGATCTTTTTATTGAGCTCCTGTAGGTTAAGTACAATATTCATGGATCTGCCACATGAGGAAAATTTATCAAGCATTTCAAAATGTACAGTAACACACAGTTTCTGGCAAATGCCCTAAGCAATTCAAGATACTCACAAAAAAGCCTCCCAAAGTTTCCACGGTCTTCAAATTCCCCAAATCCTATGAAACATTTGCAGTCTCAGATCTTGTGTAAGAAATCTTGTGAGATTTCTTTTCTCATATGCTGGATCTTGCAAGATTTACCAAGCTGACAAATGTTAAGCTATTTTTAGTGTTAATTTTAATTTGGAGGACTGAGATCTGGGAAGAAAGACATTCTGGTGATTGTGTTACTGCTGGTTATATTGTCCTCATGGCTTGGTTTTATCCATAGTTTTGATATTATATTTCATATATGCACCTTTTTTCTAATGAGCAAATAAGATAATTCCTATTACACGGAATATTAGGGTAATATTTCATAGCTGCATGCATGAAATACAAGCGAATTTCAGTTTCCTGAAATAAAAAAGGGAGGATGTGTCTTGTTTATAGGCAGAGATCTCATTGACAGAGGGAACATGGCCATCAATGATACAATTTGATTGTATTTGAATGAATGTTCTGGAAGGACTTTGATTTGATCTGTTGCCCTCTTGGGTTTGTTGCTAGCTATATTTCTAGTATGAATGGTCAGCCCCCTTGGCTTCCCCATCTGGAGCAATCCGTTCCTCAGCCATAATCAGCCATGCTACGATTGTTGCCAGCAATTTCTTTATTTTCCAGTTGCCAAGCAACCCTTAAGAATACTTCATTGCTGCTGCACAGCTAGTTTAAGAACGAAATAAACTCTTGCAGGTTGACTTTACTCTCTATTCTGTGACTCTTGTTTAGGCACAAGCCTTGCACTACAGACCATGCTGACCTGGTGCCCTTCTAATGTGTTGTACAACGATTTCTATCATCCAGGACAGGGTGGCAATTTAACTTCAATGTAGCTGGAGCAGACTAGCCTGGGAAAATGGAGATGCTATTTGAGCTATGCTTGTTTATTGTCAAGCTACAGCAAATAGCCCTTAATGCTGCCATGGCTATGTTAGTCTAGAGCAGGGCTGTCAAAGTCCTGGCCTGTGGGCTGGATGCGTCACAGGTTGGCCACGCCCACGTATGGTTTAGCGAAGGGGGAAAAGTCCCGATACGTCACATGACGCTGCCTTGACAACGTGAGTTTGACAACCCTGGTCTAAGAGTTTCACTGGTCTAGACAGTCATTGAAACGCTCAGGACCAAACAGAGGAACACACCTGGACTTCTTTTTGCTCCATTTTTTTCAACTTCTTATAGTGAGCATGGCTGTAAACACATGGGAATAAACGTGTTTAATTAAATAATGGCCTGAATAGCATTGTTGTCCTCATCTCTAGACATGCATATTTTAGATATGCATATTTTGAAAGTCTTCGATTTAAAGGTGTATTTTTTAAAGAGTTGCTGCTTCCTACCTCATGTCCTAAAGCTGTTATTTTACTCCTTCAGCACCCATTTTCCTACTTGAAGATCCAGGAGATGTTTGGCAGAATTGGAAAAGTATTTATTTTCACAATTCTAACGTTAGACAGCCTTTCAAGCTGTCATGGAACTATGCTTTGGATATTGGAAGCCCAGGAAACATGATTGTTGGTGCTACGGGTACATTATTAATCCTCATGCACCTCTGGCTTTTGAGTTAAACTTATACTTTACCCACCAAGAAATAAAGGGAAACTAGTATAGATCTGTTTCAAATTATTTAGTTCTCGTCAGTTAGCCATATCCTGGGATTCGACCCGGGCTACTTACATATTAGGTAGATGTATTAACCTCTAAGCCAACGCAAAGCTGGCTAAGGAACTCTGGGAGTTGAAGTCCACAAGTCTTAAAGTTGCCAAGGTTGGAGATTCCTGCTCCAAGCCACAGGTTCTCGCTTTGTGGGCTGTACTAGGGGGGAGATTAAGTGTTGTTTTTTTAATCAGGGTAAGGTGGCAGGCTGAACCAAAGTAGGCCTCAAGCCTGAACCAAACTGGTCTACCCAAATATAGGACGGAGCATACTCTGGCTTTTGAGTATTACATCTGACAGTTTTTACTACTGTGAAAATGGTTCCAGTCTTCAGTTCTTTCCTTAGATTTTAGGGAAGGGATCCTCCTCATACACCTTTCACTATCATTGTAAGCTCTTAATGCGCCACCATTATCTGTACCAAGTATTTTCAGGTGCAGAATCATGTTATAAGAGGGACGCAGTGGCTCAGTGGCTAAGATGCTGAGCTTGTTGATCGAAAGGTTGGCAGTTTGGCAGTTCAAATCCCTAGCCCTGCGAATTGGAGTGAGTTTCTGTTACTTGTCCCAGCTTCTGCCAACCTAGCAGTTTGAAAATACTTGGTANAAAGGCAGGTGAGCGAATACTTTTGGCAATATAGTGTATATTATGTGAGTAAAGAGTTCATTTGTAAAATTATTAATGTTTACAATTTTGAAAGTTTGACTGAATTCATCTGCTTGTTTATTTTTTTCACCACATTTAGAGGTCTCCTTAATCCATATAGACTGGTGGAAAATTTCAAAACAATTACCATACCATCTACCCATGATGGCTGTGCAAACACCACTAAGAGCCAAAAGCCAGCTTTAATGGTACATCTTAATCTGCTTTCAAAAAGCAATCCATACTTCCAGTTGTAAGATTTCCAGGGAATGGGGCTACCGCCCATTGCCTGATTCATACTGCCATGTATCTCACAAGCAAGGAAGACTCTAAACAAGCCATGGCTTGCTATAATCCAGTATTATGAGGCTATATCTAACAGTTGTCTTCCTTTATAAGATACCAGTTTTCTGAGTTTCAATAAAGGTTTCAATAATGGAGAATTCAGCTTCTCTGAAAAGTTAAGTGATTGTTCACGCTATCTTCAGGTGGTGGTTTTTAACTGGCAAAGCACAGATTAGATTAAATCAAAATAATAAATACCATAACATTATGTTTCAAAACATAGCTCTATAGCAGAAATTTTATTCTGCTAACACGGAAAATACACAGAGGACATTGTCTTTTTTCCCTTTTATCCTTTTTCAATCCATAAATACTTTCTAAGACACAGAAAGGTTAATAGAATTTCTTCTTCTGAAAGATTAAGAGTATGTTGCATGGAAGAAGTAAAAGGATAACAATGGATTTTTTTTTTTGCTTTTACAAGAATTTCATCTTCTTGAATTAATTTTTAAGTCAATCCATGGTAGATTTATTCTAGAGAACAGAAAAGACCTGGAGGCAAGATAGCTTATCATTCGACAACTGCTACATTTCTTCAATCCCACCTGGAGAATTTGGGACTTTGAATACAGCATGTGATTGGCTTTCTTAGTCCCCTGTTGATTATCTACCCATTTGTTCCCCAAGCTTTCAGTTCAGATGCAACTAAGCAACTTGTGTTGCTATGACATCTTGCAGAGATATCATACATTTCCCACTTGCAGCTATGTAAGACACTATTTATTTTACAGGTTGATTTAATATATTTGTCAAAAGGAGCAGTGCTTTTACAGATGTCCCCATTTTACATGAAGGGCTAAATCTAGGCAATTTATTATCACACTGCAGAAATGATACCCTCTCTGAATGCAAAACAGTGAAAATCTTAGAATTGTTATGCTATTGGGCTTTGACAGTGCTTGCTGTACTGGTATGAGTTTTTCACATTCTTACAGTACAGCAGGGGTGGGTTTCAGCCGGTTCGCGGCGGTCCCTGCGAACCGGTTGGTCGCCGAACCCGGAAGTAAGTAACTTCCTGGAACGGCGAAGGGCCCACCCGCGCCCGCGCGCCCGCTCCTTAC